GAGTTTGTAAGCTGCTCTGAGACACCTTTGGGTAGTGAAGGGCGGGGTATAAATCCAATCTCTTCTCTTCTTCTCTTCTAATCGCCTGAGCCTGCATGACACATCACGCCATCTTGGTTGCTAATTATTGAGTGCACTTTATTCGGCAATTGCCGATTGTTTAAAGGTTTTAAATGTTCCAACAGTGTTAAATGTTATGTGTTAAATGTTTTAACTGTATATGAATCTTGGCACATTGTGCCAGGCAATGTGAGCTGCCCTGAGCCTGCTTGCGGGGAGGGCGGGTTATAAATAAAATAAATAAATAAATAAAGGGAGGCTCTCTTGCAATCTCTCATAGAATACATATAGTTCAGCACTGTAACTAGGAACTGTTAGGCTGTATCCAGCTCCAGGAAATGTCATGAAGCTACTCCTGCACTGAACAGCAGAAGCACATGATGGATGTGGATGAGCAGTATCTATATCCTTGGAGCCCTTCAGGAGAGTGGTTTTCGCCCACCATGTTTTCTTCCCTTCTCAAAATGGTCACTAGCATCACAAACTACTTGCAAATATTCTGAATAAGGTGTGTGTGTGTGTGTGTGTGTGTGTGTGTGGCGGGGGGGTCACTGACAGCAGTAGCAGCAAGACTATATGGAGGGGATGGAAATAAGGTTACTGACTCTGGCTTGGGAAATTACTGGAGATCTGGGGATGGTTGGGAAGAGAGTAAGCTCAGCAGAAGACCTCCCTCCAAAGTTTCCAGTTTTTCTAGGAAACTCATGTTTGCATTCTAGAAATTAGCTGTAATTTCAGGAGAACTGTAGGCACCACCTAGAGGTTGAAAACCCAGATGGAAACATGTGGTATTAGAACCTACTGAGCTCTCCTGGGGATCCAGCTTCACATTTGCATTTTCCTTAGCTGCTGTGTTATTAGCATGTCTCTGGAATTCCAAGGTATTTATTTGCAGCCGAATGCATTGTAATGCAAAGTTACCTTTAATGTTGTGATGTATTTTCAAGGTCCCCAGGCTAAGAACCACCAACTATTCTATGATGTTTCTTGCCTAGCAGTTCATGCTGTAGTTTCTGAACAAAATTTCTTTTTAAAGCATTTTAATTCATTTTTCCTGTGAGAGATATGATATCTTACTAATATAATGCAAGGAGGAAAACCCCTCACTAGCATCCATACATTCTCATTTAAGAAAACACTGACACTTGGAAACACTCATTAGTATGCATCACGTACAAGTGCAGCATGGATGGTTTGTTATTGTTATATCATTCTTCATACTACATTTCAAGAGACTAAACTGTCAGCATATTGGACTGAAGCTGTAATCTGGATCTTCTAGGTATGTGTCTGTAAAGTGCCGACAAGTCACAGTTGACTCGGACTTCCGGTTTATGGCGGCACACTAGCAGACTCACCTCCCGGACCTCCCGGGGGTGAAGCTGCACTCCAGCCAAAGGAGGGGGTGCACAGGCTCGCTTACCCCCCCAGGGCCCCAGCAAAGGGACCCTGGCCATGGAACATACAAGAGGTTGCCTCTTCGAGCGCGAAATGCTGGAGAATTGAGGCACCTCTTCATTCCAACGGTTCTCCATGCTGTGAGACTGAATGGATTTAGTGACGCTGATCGGGGCAAGCGTGCGAGATCCAGCGGCAGAAATGAAAGTTGAAAGTGAAGTCAAATGACCAATTATGAATGTGAGTCAGCTTTGAAGCGTTCTTCAAAGGGGAAAAGATAGCTCCCCACCCCACCGAACGGGAAAAAGGCGAGCGTGGGAGGGACGCCTCCCATGCACATGAATTTTTGAGCGATTGAGGGGGGGAGCGGAAGAAAATGCGAAGGAAACTGCCTAGAAGTACTTACCAAAGCGAATCTAAGCGGTCAAGCGCACATTCAGAGACTTTTAAAAAAATTGCGAAAGTAAACAAGCAAAAAAGATGGCGGGGAAGAAGGACAGAGAAAAACTTTTGAAAGCAAAAGGGTCTGAGAGCCCAAAACCGGAAGCTACCAGTGAGGTGGCAAAGTCTATAGCGGAATATATGCGCCCTCTGCTGGAACAGCTGAATAACTTCAAGGAACAGATGTCTATAGTGACTCAAAGTATTACTGCACAACAAACCCCGATAAACAATATGATACAAATAATGAAGCAAGATACTGAGAAGGTAAAGGAAGTGGCTGCAACTACCCAGAAGGTGAAGAAAAAAGTGCAAAAACTGGAAAGTACTGATGTGTCTCCCTAGATGGGAGCACATCCAGCTGGTGCTGAAGGTGCTGCACTGGCTGCCAATAGCATACCGGATTCACTTCAAGGTGCTGGTACTTACCTTTAAAGCCCTATATGGCCAGGGTCCAACATACCTGAGGGACCACCTTTCCCCGTATATACCCCAGAGAGCACTATAGTCCGGGGCGCAACATCAGTTGGTTATTCCAGGCCCAAGGGAGGCCAGGCTTGCGGCTACTAGAGCCAGGGCCTTCTCAGTGGCGGCTCCTTACTGGTGGAATGAGCTCCCGGAGGAGATCAGGACCCTGTGGGATCTTGTGCAGTTCTGCAGGGCCTGCAAGATGGAGCTCTTCCACCAGGCCTTCAACTAGGAGCTGCCCACATTACCATCACATTACCATCAATGACCACTATTAATATCTGTGGGGGAGGCTGGCTGCAGTGAGATCGATCCAAACTGCCTAGGAGAATGTAATCGCCTGAGCCTGCATGACACATCACGCCATCTTGGTTGCTAATTATTGACTGCACTTTATTCGGCAATTGCCAATTGTTTAAAAGTTTTAAATGTTTCAACAGTGTTAAATGTTATGTGTTAAATGTTTTAACTGTATATGAATCTTGGCACATTGTGCCAGGCAATGTGAGCTGCCCTGAGCCTGCTTGCGGGGAGGGCGGGTTATAAATAAAATAATTAAATAAATAAAGGGAGGCTCTCTTGCAATCTCTCATAGAATACATATAGTTCAGCACTGTAACTAGAAACTGTAATACAAATGTAGAAAGTAATACAAATGTTTGACTCAGTTTATAATAATCTAAGTGAAGTGAAGATTTGCTGTAACTAAGCTAGTGAAGATCTCCTCTCTTGGGTTTTTAGTTAGTAGTGGGTTCTTTTGCTTTATCCTATATATGTAACTCCCCCTTCCCTTTTTTCTGTAGTAGTTTTGTAGTTTGATAAAAAATAATAAAAAATTCCCTCCGGGGGCTCAAAAAAAAAAGTCACAGTTGACTCATGGAAACCCCGTAGGATTTTCAAGGCAGAAGACTAACAGCTGTGGCTTACCATGGCCTTCCTCAGCACAGAGTAACTCTGGAATTCTTTGGTGGTCTCCTATCCAAGTATTAGCCAGAGCTGACCCTGCTTTGCTTCCAAGACCTGACAAGGCCTAGGCCAGTGATGGTGAGCCTTTTAGAGACCGAGTGCCCAAACTGCGACCCAAAACCCACTTATTTATCGCAAAGTGCCAACACGGTAATTTAACCTGAATACTGAGGTTTTACTTTAGAAAAAAACAACCCATACATTAACTTAAGATGATCCAAACAAAGTAAGGAAAGCAATCCCAAATGCTTTCATTTACTTAAAATTATTTGGCAGAGAATTCGACACTTTAATGATGGTCTTGGCCTGGCTGGGGCGATGGCACGCGTGCCCACAGAGAGGGCTCTGAGTGCCACCTCTGGCACCCATGCCATAGGTTCGCCATCACTGGCCTAGGCCATCCAGGTTAGAGGATCTACTAGGTACCAGCTGAATTAGGATAAGATTTGTACCTCATTTATGTTATATCCAAACTGATCAATGAAAAAAGGTCAATGTTCCATTAAAGGGAGAATAACAGAGACGGTCAGATGGAGGGGGGAGAAACGAGAGGTTTAGTGGCTCACTGGCCATTAACTGGTCAGTTTTGCTTTCCCCCCCCCATGAAGAAGAAGAAGAGGAGGAGGAGGAGATTGGATTTATACCCTGCCCTTCACTATCCAAAGGAGTCTCAGAGTGGCTTACAATCCCTTCTCCTTTCCCTGCCCACAACAGACACCCAGTGAAGTAGGTTTCCTTAAGGAACTCCCTTGAGAGAACAGCTCTGAAAGAGCTTATGACTGACCCAAGGTCACACCAGCAGCTGCATCTGGAGAAGTGGGGAATCAAACCCGTTCTCCCAGATTAGAGTCCATGCTCCTAACTACTACTCCAAACTGGCTCTCTGAAGGGAGGGGGAGTGAAACTGAGGGGTTTAAGGGCTCACAGCCAATAACAGAGTGAACCAGGCACGATGGTGTTCCTGAGGCCACCACAGGGATGCCACTATGATTTGGGGGATGAAATTGCTTCCGTTGACAAACACTGCAGAGCTTTGGGGGCCCAGGGAGGAGGAGGGACACCTATTCTCCACGCCTGCATACACTCTTCAAGACTCCAAATGCCAGGGGTCTGGGCTCTTGAGCATGAGGAGGGGAGACTGGAGCCTACCTCCCCCCATGCACCCATCCCAATCAAAACCAGGGCCCCATGGCTTCTGTAAACAGGAGGAATTTCGTCCTTAAAATGATGGAAGTGGTGGACTTGGGGATGCGATCGCATCTAATTTGGCTCTTAGACACCTTCCTTCACAAGGCTAAGTTTTGGGGAAGAAGAGGGCCACAGGTGGAAAGAAATGACACTAGGCAAGTTTACGCACTGGGTGAGCTCCTTATCAGCTGGGCCCAAATTTCAGAGCAGGTTTGTGCTCAGCTCATCATTGGCTTGAGGTTTGCAGACTGGAGAGCTTCCAGTTCATTTAAAGCCACCTGCATTGAGGTTAGCTTCAGGTCTGAATTTTGGAGTCATCCCTACTTTCCAGTTAACTTTGCTCCTAAGTCAGTAGACATATTATAAAGCCATCAAACTTCCATGGTATAAAATTTCAGATGGCCTCAACTACATTACCCTTTTTTATGGAACTGTTTCCAACGAGTACCTTAACAGGTAAATTCATGAAGGCCACTCACCTTCTCCAGCAGTTGTCTGAGCTGCCTGCTTTTGGCATCTCTGGAGCAGAGGTTTTGTTCTGGGGCAACCACTGTGCAAATACACCGTCCATCTGGGTCTTGGGCTGAGCTATAGACTTGCCACCCTTCCTTGGGGCTGATCTGAGTCTGAAACAAAACAATGAGACACAATTATAAAGGAAAATAGGATTCTACCAAGTGTAAGTTCTATGACATTTATCTTCAGCTGTGGGACCAAAGTGGTTTACCTCAATAAGCAGAACACACTACCAGCCTTGCCCTTTTTCATTTACATTTTTTTTTCAAAGAAGGAAAATGATGGAAAGAGGAAGAGGAGGAGGAGAAAGGGAAGAAAAGAAGACCAAAGATGGACTTTGTACTGGAAAAGAAATTAAAAAGTCAGCCTCATCCTAATGCATTTGTTATTGAATATCCCATTTTGTTGATTGTACTGACTCACTGTATATAATCCACCCTGAGTCCCTGTGAGAAAGGCAAACTATAAATAACATACATTAATTGTTGCAGTGTTAGGGTTACAACAGTTGGACTACTCTTTTGATATATACAATAACTCTAGGACAGAAGTAGGCCAACTGAATTCTGCACCTGGAGGTGCTTTTTAAATCAGAGAGGCTATGTGGTGTAGTGGTTACAATGCTAGATGAACTGAGTGCCTTCGGTTCACATCCTTGTTTAATTTGCTAGCTGAGGCCAATCATATCTCAGCTGCAATGACTTTATTGGGTTGAGAGAAACCCATGAATGCTTTCTTGAGCCTCTTGGAGGAGGAGGCAGATGAATTGGTTTAGTGCTTTCAAGCATTTCCTGTATACTATATTGATGGAATCACTACAATGCCAGTCTCAGGTAGGTGAGTGTTACTATTCACCTGTTGCAGAAGGGGAAAACTGAGGCTGAGAGAGAATAGCTTGCCTGGTCACCAAGTATGATGGCAAATGCAAGATTTGAAGCAGGAATCTCCTCATACAAAGAAGAAGAAGAGGAAGAGGAGGAGGAGGAGGAGGAGGAGATTGGATTTATACCCCGCCCTTCACTTGGAGTCTCAGAGCGGCTTACAAACTCCTTTCCCTTCCCCTCCCCACAACAGACACCCTGTGAGGTGGGTGGGGCTGAGAGAACTCTGACACAAACTGCTCTTTTTCAAGGACAGCTGTGCCAGAGCTTGTAACTGACCCAAGGTCACATCAGCAGGTGCAAGTGGAGGAGTGGGGAATCAACCCTGGTTTTCCCAGATTAGAGTCCGCACACTTAACCACTACACCAAACTGGCTTTCTTACAGTGCAATCCTAAAATCACAGGATGGATTTAGACTAGAGTAATTCTGCATAGGATTACATTGTTAGGGCTCGAACAGATGAGAAATCTGGAATGCTGTGATCAGAGCTCTCAGTGTCCCACCCCCTCATCAGATGGAGAAGAGAAGAAGAGATTGGATTTATACCCCGCCCTTCACAACCCGAAGGTGTCTCAGAGCAGCTTACAAACTCCTGTCCCTTCCCCTCCCCACAACAGACACCCTGTGAGGTGGGTGGGGCTGAGAGAGCTCTGACAGAAACTGTTCTTTTTCAAAAACAGCTCTTATCAGAGCTACGGCTTGCCCAAGGTCATCCAGCCAGGTGCCAGTGGAGGAGTGGGGAATCAAACCCGGTTCTCCCAGATTACAGTCCGCACACTTAACCACTACACCAAACTGGCTCTCAGATTTATGGGGAACATGATTTGGATCAGGTCCATGGTGCAAGGGGTGGGGTGGGGTGGGGTGGAGGGACTTAAGCCTCCCACCTTATCATTTTTCCAATACAGAAAGGGCACAGGGAACTGTTATTTGCCTCACCAGAGAGACATGCAGGTGCTGATCTGTGTATCCCAAAGGGAAAAACAGCAGCTCCCTGGGGCCATTTCAGAGAGGGGGAATGGCTTAAACTCCTTCCCTGTTGCACTGCAGCCCCAGTCTTAATCAGGCCCCTGCTGCTGGGGAGGAGGGGAATACTGGGAGCTCCATCAGTAGAACATCCAGCTTCTCATTTGTGTGCTCCCCAGACATTCTGGTACCAATCCAAACCCAATCAGTTCTTCTGGTGGTGGCCAGCTTCTGACGTTGATCCCGAGATTTAAAAGGGAAAGAAAAAGGAATATGATTTTTAAATGGCTTTGGCTCTGGCTCCTATGAGCCTTCGTACACAGATCCAGAATCTCAAGATGGTGGGGTGAGTGGGCAGCAGGGAGGCTAGACGTGAGAGTCCGTAACACATTGTTGATCCATATCGATTTCTCCCTTCTCTTCCCCCTTTCAAACCATGGACTGTATTCTCCCTGGGACAGGAGCCCATCTTCCCCTGAACTATTTGTCCTTGTAATATATTATCAATCTGTTAATTTCTGAGTTATCAAAGATTCATCCCCCCCAGATGACCAGTGTGTTCCCCCGCTTCCCCAGGTTTTCTTTTGCATGTAGTCCCTGCTTGACAGACTCGGGAAAAGAAATGCTAGACAAAATGCTTGCTTTAATGAGAGGCCATGTTCCCATTGGGGTGAATGTGCACGGCAAAAGCTTTGCAAGGAGTTATTTGTGAAGCAGCCCGAGTCCATTTACCACTTTCCGTATGTGCATTGTGGTTTGCGAGCGACGGAGAGCATGCACCTCCTGAGTCTAGATGACATTTACTTAGATTAAAGAGAATGGACAGAGTGGAAAAAAAATGAGTGCAGGGTTTCCATGGGGAGACCTGGTCTGTACCATCCATATTACAAGAAACCCCTGGCACGTAAAACAGGATGGGGAATTCTATAAGTGCTTTTTAACCAATGCATTACACAGAGGATCCCCATAAAATGTTGATGCACACCCCTGTCTATGCGGATGGCCAAGGGTAGCCAAGAAGAGGGACTGGGCTTTGAGCACTGGGGTTGTGACACTTTTGTGGAGAATTTAAAATCTCTAAAATAGCTTTTCCCAATGTCTGTAGAATATTTAGACAAGTCACCTTTGGGCTTTCTGATCTGATTAAAAAGTCAGACACTGCTGCGACATCCGTTGTCTTCCTTATCCTTTGTCACACAAGGGTCTACCAGGGTCCTGTGCAAGCAGAAGCTGGATTACTCCCGGAGTGCTGAACTGGAGACAAAGATGCCTCTTCATTTGCATTACAATGCTCATCAAATGAAGGAGCTAAATAATGTCTGTGGGAATGCACATGGCTGTTCGACACAGTTGCGGCTTGATGGGACCTTTTTGAATAGGCTTGCTGCCCATTTTGGGGTCTCTACTGTTTGTGTGTGAATGCCTGTACACATTTAGGCACTCCAGGGCAAGTACTAGAGTCCTGCATATTAGCAATTATGCACAGTCCTCAATAGATTTGTCCTGTGACAGCACATCATACACATACCTTTGGGGGCAGGAGCCTGACAATTTTATTTATTTTACTTTATTTATACCTTGCCTTTCCTGCTGAGATTTAAGGCAGATCATATGATGTAAAACAATGTAATTGCGCAGTATGGCATAGCCAATAAACAATGCAATAGGTCAAGGATTATAAAAATTAGAAACAACTCAACAAATGAAATTGTAAAAGTAGAAAAGAATGCAGAAAGAGCAAGATGAGACATAGGACAGTGACAAAGACTACAGTTCTGTTCCCTTAAAAAGGGCCCTCTGGAATCACAGCATTATACCACAGCCAGGGGTCATTTCGTAGAAAAAGAGCTGCAGGAGCTCATTAGCATAACTTATTAGCATATGCCACACCCCCTGACATCACCGGAAGTGTGCACCAGCCCCTCTGACAGGCAGAAGCACCTGGGATCCATTCTTTCCCCCCTCTCCCTTCCCTTCGCCTCCAAGTCGGGCACAGGAAAAGGGGAGGGGGAGGATCTCAGGCGCTTCTGCCTGATAGAGGTGCTGGCGTGCCCACAGCCAGCCTGGGTGAACTATAGAATCATAGACTCATAGAGTGGGAAGGGACCTCCAGGGTCATCTAGTCCAACCCCCTGCACAATGCAGGAAATTCACCAATACCCCCCACGCACCCCAGTGACCCCTGTTCCACGCCCAGAATATGATAAAAAAAAAAACCCTCCAGGATCACTGGGGTCCAAACTGGCCTGGAGAAAAATTGCTTCCTGGCCCCAAAGTGGCAATCAGCATTTCCCTGGGCGTGTAAGAAAGGGCCACAAGAACTAAGCACTGATGCAACCCTTCCTGCTCTACCTCTCATGATTTGCCTAAGTTCACACAATCAGCATTATGATCCTTTTAAAGTTGAAAGCATGATATAAATGCAAAGGACTATTTGTAAGTTTATCTGTAAGACACAAGACCAGGACGCATCTGTATAGAAATATTGATTTCTAAAAGTCCATGCCTTCTCCTGTGATGACATTCTATGTCTCTGTTTCCTGTGCAGGCCAAATGGTCCTGGGCAGACCAGATGGCCTGAACAACCTCAATAGCCATTCTTTCACACCTCTAAATGAAAGAGCTAGACTTCAAGGTGCCTGCTTTAAGTCTACATGGGCCATGTCACGTACATCATGGAGAAGCTGGAAGTTGGGTCACCTGACTGCAGGAGTTCCCAAACTTCTAGCCTATCCCCACACATAGTCATGACAACCAACAATTGGGCACACCCATGCCCACTCGCAATTGGCTAATAGCCACATCTAATTTGTGACTGGAATTGGGCTATAATTGTTCAATCCCAATGAGAGAGAGTCTATGTGCTTGCTCTCTGTTCCTGCTGTCTCTGCTTGTTTTATTACACCTGAAATGCAGCCCGGGAGGAACAAAGGACTGGCTTTGTGAATTGGACCACATGGTTGAGAAAAGACGGATTTTGCCTTCAAAGTCCCGTGGACTGTTTGGATATTCCTGAACTTGGTAAATATGTATTTTTTACTGTGTAGTTAAGGCAAACCGCCTTAGGCTTGTTATTTTGGTAAACTCTGGTAGTCTATGCTAACTCTGTACTAAATAAAGATTCCTCTGATTGTTAAAATTGTCTTTGATGTTGTACCTGAATTCCAAGTCTAAATCTTGTAGCCTAAACACTGACCACACAGAGCTACCACTGTGATAGTAATTGTTAAGTCCCAAAGGCCAGCTAAGAGTTTGAACCTC